TCATCCCAGTCCTCCATTTGACGGCAGTGAGCATGCAAATTTGAAGGCACAACTGATTGCAAATCAAAATTTAGTGCGAGCGCTGCAAGACGAAAATTCTGCCCTGAAACAACAGTGTGATTTTTTGACTCTTAAAGCCAGTCGTTTACAACAGGTCCTTTCGTCTTCATTTCATTTTTTACATATTTTTAAGATTTAACTCCTGCTTCTATTTCTGTTACTTGTGATACACAAGTAACAGAAATAGAAAAAAAATTTTGTACTCTTTTATGGTTCAATGCGTTAGCACCAATTTATGTCTTTTTTTTCTTTTTCTTTTTTTTTTTTTAAGCTGGAAAAAGCTTATGAAACTATCGAAAAGGAGTATGAGAATTTAACGGCACAGAAGGAGAGGCAGGACAATCTTGAGAAAGCGGCACGTATGAAAATGGAGCAGCAGATAGCAAGGTGTGTTCAGAGTTGATGAAAGACATGCATTCTTCAGTTTTTATTTTTATATGTTTTATCTTCTTAAACCAAAAAAAGAAAAACAGTTTACTTTTCTTTTGCAGCCTTACCAGGTTAACTTTATCATAATTTACAAAAAATGACTATAGGTATGCTTCTGAAAACGAAATGTTGCGAACGAAAATTGCTGAATTAATACGAAGGATACAAGCAGAAGATCAGTCAGAACAAATTAACAAGCTTAATTTATTGCTCAGTGAAATCATTCCCCAGAGTTTGTTCATTCCTCATATTCGTTGAAGTCTGTATCTGTAGGAAAGAGATTTTAGTAAATTAGAACAATTCACCAGAGTTTTAGTGTTGTTTTGCAGGAAATTTGTTTCCTTGGTTTTTTTTTCCTTGAAAGTGAAAGTGTTTCTTACTTCTTTGCTAACGAATTAAGTCTGTAATTTTTTGAAACCTCTTTTCGTTTTAGATAAAGAACTGATGACATGTAAAGAGCGCCAGAAAATGGATATTGAAGCACTGGAAGTTACTTTGAAGGATCAAAGAAATCACATTCAAGTTTGCTCTCCATTTGTTTGTATTAGCGGGTAATTTGTTGTATTAGTTTTCTTTTTTCTTTTTGGTGAGACTTGATTCTTTTAGATTTTGGAGAAAGCTCTGGGAAATGCACAAGAAAAAGCATGGAGAAGAGAAAAAGAAGTGGAGGAGCTTACCGAAAAAGTAGAAAGGGCTGAATCGTTGCAGAAGGCTGTTGAAGTTTGTTATTTTCTTATTATAATTCTAAAATCTCGAAAATGTTTTTTTAGTGCATATGGTTTTAAAGTAAGCCCTAAATTTTACAACTGCTGTCAGAAATCAATGTTCGATAAGCGGTCACGGGAAGATGAGTGGAACCGTGAAAGGGCACAACTTGAGATGGAAAATGCACAACTGAAAATGCAATTGGCTAAAGAAAGTGTTTCAGTTGGAGTGAAAAAGGGTTCGAGTGCTAGAAATGCAGAAAGTGATGAATTAACAAAACTCAAAAAGATTCTTCATGCGAAAGGTTCTTTTCCAGTTGATTAGCAGACATCGAAATTCTCTTATACGATTTATTATTACAGATATTGAAGATTTTTTATTACAGATATTTAGCTTCAGAGAGTTTTTTTCTTTTTGTTTGCTTTATCACTTTTTGAAAGAATTTGCATTGTTTAGAGGATGTTATTGCGCAGCTGGAAAAGAATGTAATTGAACTAGAAGCCAAGTTCCATGAAGAAATGCAGCGAAATAAAATGGCAATAGCCACACAGTCGGATACACTGTTAGTTCTAGATTGTTTAACTTCATAGTGTATCGAAAGGCTTGTCGTTTTTCTTGAATCTTTATCTTAATACAGCTATTATGTTTATTGATTTCATCACAACTTTTGAAGTTCTGGCAAGCTGAAAAAGATGGAAGAAGAGAAAAGTGAGAAAGATCGTAAGATAGCAGAATTAACAGAGGAGAAAGAAAGACTATCCGAGAAACTGGAAGACGAACGCAAAAGTTCAGAAAGTAGAACGAGTTTGTTGGAAAGAGAAATTGACCGCATTAGGAATACTGACGACCGCAGGTTTGTTGCTGTTTTATGATTATAGTTAAAATTTTTTAAATTTATAATTAAATTTGCAATTTTTTCTATTTTTGTTTTCAAAATCGTCATATTCAGATTTCGCGAAGATATGGCACGTATGGAACAAATGCGTCTAAAAATTGCTGACAGACGTTGTTTTACAACAGAACGTTCCCGTAATCGGTATTTTATAATTTACATAACATAGATAAAAGATAGAAGGAGAATTATTTAAGATCTTTGGTTCCTTAAAATAGATCAAGGCTTTCAGTGGTGAAGTAATGCATTTTACGCAGAAATAAGTAACAACTTATTAACGTCACAATGAATTTTAATTACTTACAATTAGTTTTTTTATTATTTTATAATGTTTTATCATAGTCATTACTGTAATAGTCATTTAAATGATGCAGTGTAGCTGTTCTGCTTTAAGATCAAAACCTGAAATGCAGTTTTTCTGCGTTTTTACTCCTCCACTTATATGAATGGACAACCACGTCAGCAGTTAGAGCTACAATCAGTTTTAGACATTATGTTGACTCTAGGTCGTAGTTTTGATCCCAGTCATAATGATTTCAGATGCGTACATCATGGGCGAACATCATCCGGAACACGTGCTGGTTTGGTTCATATACATTTGAGAGCAAATTCAGCAACAGCACTTCTTCCTACCGACTTGCATCTTTCATCACCGGATGCGCTTCCCACATCAGCCGATATACCATTGGATCTGTCAAATGATAGTGCTATTTCTGCTGGTACTTCTACTGCTGTCATCACTGCTACTCGTCCAACTAGCAAAGCTTTAACAACTTTCCCACACTCCTCATCATGTCAAGAGGAGATATTTGCTGATCAGAACTGTGTTTCTGATGCAAAGGAAGTCTACGGCACAAATCTGAATGGCTATAAACGACCAATTTCAATCCCACCGCATTATGATTTAGCATTTTCTGGTAGTGAAGGTTTATATTCTAAAATTTCGAATCGATCAACTGCAAAATCAGATACTATCGTTGGTGCTACCATCACTAATGAGGAACTATGCGGAAAACAGATTTCAACGGAAGAAATCTGGGATGTTTAAATTCTTGAAATACTTTTGTACAAAACCTGTAACTTCTTTAAATGATGTAATATTCGATTCACAGCTATGCTATGGGATATGGTTTCATAGCATAACTTTTTTTTTGCTAGATAAGAGTGTGCAGAAAGTTATAATCAAAACTTGTCTTATAATTTGTTGCCATTTAGTTCTGTAATCGGTTAGTGATTTTTCGAATGCAATGTTATTTGATATACGAAGAAAAGAAGCTTCGAATGGCTAAGAGAATAGTGTTTCTTATCAGCTATTGGATTAGTCATGAATCAGCAGAGGTTATTTCATGTAAAAGTAAACGTTACGTTGGTTGTAATCTTATGGTGATTTAAAACAAATGTAATGAATCCGAATAAGCGCTCTGAATGTATAAAACTTTGATTGGAAAAATGTTAGTTCTACTGTTAAATCAGATCCATAAAATCTCTGATGAGGTTAAATCTCATTGCACTTGAATATTAATCGCAATATGTCGTTAACTGTAGCTTGCTAGTTTCTTAATGTTTGCATATTATGAAGTGTTTGAAATGTGTCCGCACTCTATATCTTTAACAGGATAAGTCACAAGGATATGTCCTCTTAACATTTTTCAGAATTGTGGTCGTTCTACTACTTTTCGGCACTATTTCCTATTCTTAATTGTGTTCCATTGCCATAAGTGTTTTTAAAATCTTTAGGAGCATGCAGTAATGTAGGAATTCATATGTCTTTCATGTTTAAACAAATTAGGTGAGAAGGAAGGATAATTTCCTCTGTTTTTGCGGAGCAAAATATTTTTTGGTCAGGATTTCATTGAAAGTTTTTTACCTCTGTTGAGTTCGTTCTTTTTATACTTACCCTGCTCCTCAGTTGGCTGAAGCATTATCATCTTCATGGATATACCATCGCTTTTGATAAATTTGTGCGCTGCTACAATCAAATTCCTAGAGGGACTAATGCTGGATGGAAAGAGCTTGTTAGAATTGAGATTAAGATTTGGAAAACATGCATTATCGTTCACGGAAACAAATTTCCGTCCCAATGGCAAATGATATTTTCTTTGGAATAGAGCGAGAGCTTCTATTGGGAAATGGTCTTACTGTCATCTTTTTATTAATAGTGCGGGTTGCTGCTACATAAGCGTTGTTATACAGTCTTCCATTTTTGTGCTGTTTTCATCTTTCCTTTCCATGGTTATCCTTAATTATTTCTTTTGTTCAGTGTATATTCTGGAAGTGAAAGTGAATTAAAGTTTACAGCTTTTCATACATTGTTGCAGTGGAAGGGCAAATGAAAAATTGTACTTGTTACCTGAGATAGATTGGCAAATAGAGTTAATAAGTTTATCAGTTTAGATTTAAAGTGTGTTTCACAAACAGTCAGAGGATCCTTGCTATGTTAGAAATCTTTTACGTTCATTTCAGCGTTTGGAAAGTTCTAGGCAAAAGATGTTTCTAGATAACGATCTGAGATCTTGATGGCAAAGTAGTTCTAACAAGGGATTTTTTATGACCAAAGTTCTTTTTCGGTCGGTTTGAGTGTTTTGGATGAAGCAAGGTGTAGGTAATATGTGTAGCTAATATGGATTTCATAGGAAAAGTGTAGAAATATTAGCACACTAAATTTTCAGAAGTTGAATTTCAAGCAATATCGAAGTTCCTCGATTTCTCGGGTGACGTTTTTTTCTCGACATCGTTAGCATTGTTTATTATTGCATGTAATTCAATCGGTATCCACGATCACGTCAAGCCACAAACAATCTATATACCAAAAGAACACCATCCTATCCTATGCTTAACCATCAGCAAAACTTGTACTGTATGGCAAAACATTCTGTTAACATTTCAACTGTAATGATAAATGGAAGTTGCACATATGAGCTTCTCTCGACTACCCATTTATTTCATCACTTATTTCACTTTTACCAATGATACTGTATATATCGGTAAGATTGCTGGTAATTTCCCTCGAACAATTTTTCGTTTTTTGAAGCATTTTATCAGCTTTGAGGCAAAAAAAATATCAAGAAGCTGACTATGACAGAGTGCTACTTAAGCTTTTGAAAGTTTTTTTCCCAATATTCAGACAGTATTTTGCTTGGAAGTATGGCTATAGGTACGGAATCGAATCGTCTGGATCCATGTAAATGTGGATCTTTGAATTTCGGCATTGATGTTGCAACTGGTGATATAAAAAGTCCTGGTTATCCTACCAATTACTGTAGCAATCTAAATTGTAAATATGAGGTTTGTTTGTGATCTTTTTAAATTTTTTTGGAATATAATTTTTATTCCATTTTATAGGAATATATATATGAATGAATATGAAAGGAAGTTGCTCCATCTCCTCTTTAGATTTGCGTTGAGAATACCTGCGGAAAATCCCTCATCCGATCAGTTGCAGATAGATGCAATTCCGGGTCAGTCAATTCATTTTTCAATTGTTTCTTTTGAAACTGAACGACGACATGATTCTCTTGAGATTCATCAAACATTTATATTTGCGAACACTCAATATTCGGCTTGTATTGCTACGTGTGTAACTTACAGAAACCTTCACACTTCCGTTTTTTTTTTTTTTCCAGAAGAAATCATCGTTTACATTATAGCTTCTTTCTATGACAATCGCACTTCCCTTACAATTCTTCTCAGGTGTCCCAATAAGTTGAAAGCATGGAGACGCCAAGGAATAAGATAAAAGATTGCAAGTAAAATGTTAAAACACTGCTGCATATTTGCTGTTAAATATTTATCTGAAGATTGATGTGAATTACTAATAAGTAATGCACTGAGTGATAGAAAAGGCTTTGTAAGAGGTAATGACAACTTAATAAAATAGAAGTTGATGTGCGAAAGAATAAATGATAGCCAAATTTCTAATTTTTCACTTCCTTAATAATTCAATGTAAATATTGTAAACTTGAAAAAGGCTTAGGCTTTTCGGGAAAGACATCGGCTGGCCATCATTTGCTTCTTCTATTAGCAGTGGATTCATCCTGAAATTCGTCACCGACAGTACAGAAACATTTGGCGGATTTCATGCTCGCTTTAGCAGAGTCAATATCACTTCAGCAAGTATCCTGTGTTCGTAATTTTCTGCTTTTCCTTGCTTCTGTAAAAGAATAATGTTTCGTCACGGATTGCATGAACTGACCATCTGAAACTTAAAGTGGTTACTTCTGCTTTTTATTATTTTAAATCAATATGAGTTAAGAACTGTAGCTCCTTCATCTTTATTAATTCAATTCATCAAACTGACATGCGAATTGACAATCAGAATATCCAAGTATTATTTGGATATTGGTATTTTTTCCATTTTAATTCATATAATTATTTAACCTTAATATTCAAAAGATATTACAGCTAACTCCTGCTCGAAATTCTTCCATGAAGCGACGAATGAAGATAAAACATTACCTAGCCCGCCAACTAATTTCACATACTTTGCTGGTTGCGCTTATATGCTTAACACTAATGCAGGTCATGGCATAAAATTAGATCTAAAATCGCTCGCTTATAAAGCCAAGTTTATCATTTATGAAACAGAAAATTACCAAGTTCCTCCAGCAGATCATACTACTACTCCGTTATTTGAGTATGTATAACCATTTTCAGAATACTTTTGAACAGATAAAAACCAGTTGTGTTTCAGTCACTGTGGAAAGTAATGTAAAATGCTAGCAAAATTGCTGTATGACTTTTTACGATTTGTAAAACTTTTTGTTTTCCTATAGGAGTGTTGGATTGATGGAAGCTCCTCCGAAAGAAATAATTTCACGGACAAATTCTATATTGATACAGATAAAAATAATACAGCCGGAATTGTTTCCGGCTACAGCACATAGCAAATTCTTATTTGAAGCTCAGTTCAGTCGCACTGACAGCCGTAAGTTTCAGTTTTATCGAATTCAAATGAAGTAATCTTGATTACATTTTGACTACTTCATTTGAAACCATCCTTACATTATAAAAACTGTAAATTATTATTTGACAATCAAAGACCAAAAATTGCTTTTATTCAGCATGCAAATGTTTCTCGAGAAGTTATACTATTCGAATTGACCGTCCAACCATACTGTCCTCTCCCGGATTTCCTCTTGAATATTGTGACAAATTGGACTGTGAAACAGAGCTTCGACTTCATAAACATGCTATCGATTCTACCCATCATAATGCAATAATCTTAGAAATTCATTCATTCAACCTAGAACACGGTTCTGATCTTGTGCATTTCCTAGACAGATCGAAGCATTCATCTAGATATTTAATAAGGTACAGTGCAAAACTGATCCATTGTAGCAAAGCATTATTATTATGAAGTAATCAGGATTTACATGCTTTTATCACTTCAAAATTAACATTGATAATTTTTGCTTAATAAATATTTTTTACATATCTTTTCTATGTCATCAGTAATTGCTGAATAATCTCTTAGGAATAAACAAGGGGTGGGAGAAGTTCAAATGGTTAATTTATGATCATCTGCTTCTGCTTTTGCTTTTCATAAAACTGCTTTAATAATTGTTTCGAAAAGATATTTAAATGCTATGAAGATCGAAGTTCTGTTACTAAAACAGAAAAAATAGAGATATAAAAATACAGTAAATTGAAACTTGGATAAATGTTGCAGTCGCACTGGTGAATTATCAGCAAGTCGTAATAGATTTTTTACATTCTGCGGAGAAAGGACCGTACTACGAATGATTACTGATTCTACGGTTGCAAATAATGGTTTTAATATGATTATTAGTGCCATACAAAAGGAAAGTGGTAATTCATTCTCCTATTAAAATATTCAATTAGTAAAGTTTTATTTTTTCATCTTTTATTAAAAAAAAAACATTTTGAAAAAAATGAGTAAAATTATTAAAAATTAAGATTGCCGATGTAAAGGTGAAGCACAGCCATTGAAATTTTCACCATCAGCAGGAACGGTTTCATTCAATTCAGCCGTGGGCTGTGGCTTTTTAGACTGCTTCTTTCAGTTTAATCGTCCTGTAACTGTAAGTTCTAATCTATTAGATAAATGTTGTGGATGTGCTCAACAACGAAATGCGAGTAAAACAGTGGGATAAATTATTAATTTGAGCTAAATGTTTATTTATAGTTTATCAGAATATTTGAAATATTCCTTGTTAAAGGCTTTGGATACGGACCGAATACGACTGGTAGTAAATATTACTTACACTTTCAAGAATGGCGAAGAAGAATTTCTGGAAGTGTTCATAAACATCAATAATTATAATATCATTCCTTCACATCTCAATGAACGAGATGTGAATTACTATGCCTGTCAAAATATGTTCTGGCTATAAGAACAACCTTAAATTTAACTTTCATTTGTAAAATTTATCACATATTAAATTAAGGAACAACTATTAAATGAATATAACAGTTTAGTGAATAACTTTATTTGAAACCGCCACGTATTCAAAAATAATTAAATAACTGATTGCTATTCTGAAATGCATGTGAGCGCTTAGATTTCCGAAGTTGTAATATTATAGTTTAAAATTTGTAATAAGCCGTGCAATTGTTCGCTGAATCGTTCATATGTATATTCCAGTAATTTGAGGATAATATTTACAAAGTGTATTTATACAGTTTCGAACCAGCGCTAACTCAAAGTGGAACGGAGGTGGTAACGAACGATACACCGATGATGATTTGGTATCACTTGGCATCTGATATCAACAAAAATACTGCTCAAATCAAGTTTGTTTTTCTGTCTATTAAAGATAAATAGAAATTTAGTGATTTATTCTAAATAGAATATTTCTTCTACATATAAATTATCTTTTACATAGAAGCTTGCCACTTGGTTTCATATTATTTCCAAAAATTGCAGTCATTATTGTCCATTCATAAGCTATTTGCTGTGTTTGCAGGGAAAAAATTGTTTTCTATTAGGAAATGTAAAAATGTCAATTTGAATTTTTACTTAACAATAAAAATACAATATAAAAGGTGATTGATTAAGTAATTAATAGTCAGGAACACGTATTAAAATTCAAATTTTAAGTGTTACCCAATTTAAATTTAGAATTCAATTAAATTTTCACCACATCACCCGACTATCCCAATCATTACTGTAATTTGATAAAATGCAAATACTTGATAACCGCACCACAGGGATGCATTGTTGTTGCAAATATCACTGAATTAGCTTTAGACCTAACGAAGATGTGTTGGCTATTTTTGATGGTACTAATATAATTGATAGACGAATTAAAATGTTTATTTCGTACTTTTCTTTTTTCGTTATGTTTTAAATTATCTAAAAGACACTCATTCTATAATAATTGCTTACTGAATGTGTGAAACTGTATGTACAGAGTAGCAAAATATCTAATCATAATCGCATGATTAATTTTGCAGTACCAGTGGAGTTGAAATTTTCACAGATTTATTACGAAGTACCGCCGAGACGATGACAGTTTACTTTAAAACAGATATCACCAATAAAGGATTCGTCCTATATTATACTGCTGGTCCTTTTCTTTTTATTTTGGAACATCAGCATTTTCAAGTACAGATTGAGAGAAGTGAAGAAAAAGTTTGCAGACTTTCATGAACATGTTTTTCATGTTTTCCTTGTATTTTTTGTTCTTTCAAACTCTTTCTGAAAAACATCTCAGTGCAAACAAATAAATATAAGTCAAGAAATTACAAATAGGTCAAAAAACTCATGTGTTAGGATAGTTGGAGTCTTTCTGCACTCTTTCGAGGTGACAACGAATGAGTACTTTGCAATTGTTTTTGTTTCTAACTTAAATAATTCGATTCAAAAGTACTATTTTACAGAAGTAAATAATGGAAGCGGCGTTGCTGATCAGTTGGGAGGGTCGAACCATTTGGGAATTATTTTCTTCATACTACTATTTCTTATTGTTGGCATTATATTTGGTTTAACTTGTTACAAACAGCTGTCATGTTTCGCAGACCGAACAAATCGCTGGAACGATACTTCCGTAGTTGGTTTTACCAACTTGTCTCTTGAAAATAGCTCGTAAATTGTAAGCAATTTCATCTTTCTATTATAAGAATAATCTTTATAACAAATTATGGGAAACCTTATTAACTTTGTTATTCAGTGAAGGGATATCATCAAATAATTAATATCACATTAAAATGAAACAAAGTATCAACAGTACAGGCTACCTATGGCTTAATTCGAAGAACATTTTTTGCTGGAGAGAAAAGTGAGAAAAAAAAATAATTTTGACTGAGAAACTAATTTTTACTTTTAAAGTTAGTCCAGTATCTTTGGTCTAATAATCAATTTACAGAAATCTCTAATTTGAAAAACAGGTAATGAATCCTCACATAAAAGTTTTATCTTAAAGAAACATTCTATAATGCAAACAAGTGTTGAATTTGATTATTTTGTTACAACTGTTGTTTTGAAAGTAAATATTGCCGTGTTATATCGTCAGCTTCCAGTAAACGGAAGTCCCATCGATAAACTCTCAGAATGGAGCCAATTTTATATTTATCCATGCTGTAGATATGAGTATGAATTTTAAACTGGATTTTAAATATATCTCAAATCACTCTGTAATGCAACGTATAATAATATGCATTTGTTCACAGTACAATTAACGTACATTCCAGGCAAATTCAAACCAATCAATAGCAGTGAAATATGATGCAAGCGCAAAAAAAGAAAAGTTATGAAATTTTGACAAGATTCAAAATTTATGAATTCGCACAGTAAATTTCAAAACCAATCCATACCTGTTGTACTTGATGCCTTTAAGGAATGTTCGTCCACAACACCATTTTTGATCTTTTACAGCTTCAGTAATGTCCAGCTTCTCTTTATCGACATGAAATGTTATCAAAAAATTTATGTCTTCGAATAGTCCTTTTACTCCCTCCTGAAAATGTTTTTTAATTTGTTTGGAAATTCAAGTTTTAAATCCCGTCTTGTTCAAAATACATTTGACGTTTTAAGGGAGCTGAACTTTTAAATCCATTGCAGAGAGTATAAAAAGAAGTTACTGTATGAAAGGAAGGATATAAAAATTAGCTGGAGCCGTTTGAATATTGAATTCTAAGAATAAAATAAAATTAAGAACTACCATTACAGCAATAAATTTCATCTGCAATGGTATATTTCCATTTCCTTCGGACGGTGGTCCATCCATAAGAGCCTGAAGTTTAGTTTAGCTCGGTTCAATTTTGTACAAAAGACTTGACTCCTAATCTCGGTTCATTTACTACAGTGGAAACTCATTTCTAAGATATTACATTCAAAAAACATATGGGAAGATTTTCGCTAATTTGACAAGCTCACTTTTTCGTAATCTTCGAAATCAACAGGTCCAAAATGTTTCAAGAAATTGCGTGTTTCTAGGCCTTCACAACTGAAAATAAACATTGGTCTGGTGTAAACTTCTACCCATAAGCCAGGCCGTATCTCAGTACTACGGTAGAACTGTTGAGTGCCTGAAATAAAAAAACTTATCAAGTAGGGAAAATGCAGGAAGACTTCTGAAGAGAAATCTCCGTGCTATAAAGACCTTCTTTGATGAAAGGAAGCTTGTTCCTTTTGAGGAAAAGTTGTTTCCTGAACCCACGAGTGCTCTCTACTAGCGCAACAGTATCGTCAATTGTATGTACTATCATATGGAATGTCCGAATCGAAGCATCGTCCAACCAACAAGCTAACAAGTGCAACTTCGCTGGCGCATCCGAATAGTCCATCTTCTGAATTATTGCAAATTTGTCTTGTCAATAGAAGAAGCAAAACCAACAAATATGCAAGCATTCTATAACGGAAAGCCCAAATTTGAAATTAATAAGTCTTAAAAACTTATATGTCAAACTGACGAAACAGCTAAGGTGTACTTCGCAATTCCCTTTAAGTTTTTCCCAACATTTATGGATGGTAGGGCAATCACCTCATGACTCCATTCCAACTTCTCTTCATTTTCCTTGTTTTTGTTTGAAGTTTGTTGTCGTTCTTGGTTTTGAATCCATTGGTCCATAGGAATTTCCTCTTCTTCATTAACCTCAATTCCTTCTTTCGTCAGAAAATCCTAAGAAAGGCTGGAAATCAATTAAAAATTCCTCACTGCAATAATTTGATTTAACAATGATTCAGCTTTTTCACAGAAAAACAGTAATGAACCCTGGTATAATGATCACAGGCAGTAATTCTGTATGTTCTCGAGAAGAGATGGATATCTTTTGCGACATTTAAATCTGTCCAATGCAAATAGTTTTGAGTAGAATTTCGATCTAACTTCGGTACTCTCTGATGAGTAAAAATATGACCCTGAAATGGACTATAAATTTTAGTAGTCAAAACCGTTTAATTCTTCCATTTGAAATTATTATGAAGAATCTCGACATAAAAAAGAGTATCGGCAAACAGTTTGATCCAAACATCACTTCTTGAAAATCCTTCCGAATCAATTATTAATTAAAAATAGCGTTAGAAACAGACTGTTTGCTGACTTTTATATAGCATAGCGCTGTATTAAACGTGAAGTAAAATTATTACCCGCAAAATGACATTATTTGGAACATGTGGTTCAATGAGAGAAATTGTGTGATCGCTGAGATGATAAAGCAATTTCATGGGTTGTATGTAAAGCAACTGCTGATGTAAGTACTTTTCAGTATTCGGTTCAAATGAGTAACATTCAAACGACAAAATATCCGGTCTGTCACTCTCCATCTGCAAGCAGTTTATGAAATGAGCTGTACTAATATATCAAAGCAGCTAAAGACTAACTAGTTAATAAATGGTTGTATATGATGTAAAAAAAGCCTGTTTTGAAAAAAGACATTAGCTAAGCGTATCGGTTTTTTTTGAATAAAAGAAGGAAAAGAAGCTATGCTATTATTTAGCTTTATTCTAAAACAAAATTATTTCATATGGAATGCCAAATATTATACAAAATATAGGAAATAACGATAAGTAAACTTGCAGACCTATTCAAAACTAAAAAAATTTTATGCAAGTGAATAAGGGGAAAAGTGCAGAAGTATATTTTAGAGAGGATTCATCGTGTAAAACATTGTTCTAGTGGCTTTCTTTTATCACTTCGTTGGCTATAATAGCGATGGTATTTCGTGCTGAAGTGATGAATTTTGTGTTCAGCTCAAAATAAAAGTAATCATATTTGTATTTAAAAGTCCTTTTTCCCACTTTAAACTGAACTAAAAAATTGATATGCCAGAGGTAAATGCGTCCCTCAACATCCTAAATAGTATCTTTCCAGTATGATGTGAAATTGGTCATTTATGGATTTCTCAGAATTGCCTGGCACCAGTTTGAGTTCCCTTCGCTTCAATTCTAACATGTGTTTAAAATTATATATATATATATATGAATAAATAGAAGCGATCTGATTTTTGATCAACAAAAAACTAACTGCATAACAACTACGATTTTTCGGACATTCATTGAGCCCATCTCATAACTAAGTATAAACTGAGCACGTAGGATGACGTTAAATTGAGAGGCCACTCAAAAATGACTAATCGATGAAAAAGGTACAGGTGTATACAATTTATGGCAAAGTAACCTCTCACAGACGCAATGGAATTCCGGTTTTTCTGTTCTGAATCTCTTAATCGCTTTACCGTTTGCAATTTTTCTAATGGAACCATTATGTACCATAAGTTAGAGTAATTACAGACGCTACAATTTCAAGAATATGAATTTTAAGGATTCCGGCTCCTGCTAGCAGCAGCAGTAAAAATCACTGCGGATTAAAATTGGAGAAAAAAGACTCGTGCAACCCATACTGTCCAAATTCTCGAAACGGTAAAGGGAGACATCGAGGATACGAAATTTCATCATTCTGCTTCACAGTTTTTAGAATCCATAAAAATAACCAGTTTTTTAATCGTAGAAAAAGATCACAACAGTGCTTGAGTCCTAAATAACGCAATAAGCTTTTGTATATCTGCACAAATTATGGAAACTCCCACATCAGTCACTTTCTTCAGTCCTGGAAACTTTCAAAAACGATAAATCTCGCACTTGTCCAACCCGATATACTATGTTTGAACACATTTTTGTTAGCTATGCATCGTTAGCTTTTTGTTCCGCACTGCCCTAAAGAAGTGCAATTCTCTATTTAAACGACAAAAAACACTCTCTCCACAACCTTTCATTTCTCAAATTCTCTGCTGATGCCGAAGAAACTCTACAATTCGGTGACTGATAACACTCCCTAATCATTTAAAGAGCACTTATTCGAATCCGTCAACCGTTAAATACTAAGAAATAAACTAAAAATGATTTAGGTTGATTGTAGTAATTATAATAAACATCAAGCTGCCTAACCGTGACAACATTAATATTATATCTGAAAACAAAACCTCTACCAACACCTTGATCGCAATCCAACGACGCCGTTAGAATTTAATATCAGGCTATCAATTACTGATTCAATGCAATTTTTTCTATTTAGTAGAAAAATTCTTCTTTTAATAGAAGTCAGTATTTCCACAGTTCATAACTTAGTTTTTAAATTTAGTTTCTTCACAGTGAAATAATCATTTGCATGCAAAAATATGTTCTCTCAATTTTGAATAAAATACCACACACCGAAGGCAACCCTGTCAGATTTTTCTTTAATGCTCTTTGATGCCTAATCAACATATCTTTTAAGTGTATCAGTCATCGGAAAAAATGAACAGTAGTTATCACAATCACTACTCACTCAATCACCATTTTGAACTGTGACCCTTCACCGCTGCTTCGAAAACCACTCCGTGATACTGATTCATCAAAGCTTATTAGAAACATTGCTATAAAATATAACAATCAGAAAGTACTAGATCAAATTATATAAATAAACAAAATATTTGAGGATTGTTTTCACTAAAAGTCTATCTTCATGATACATTCACAAAGCTTCACTTTATGATAATTCTACGACCAATCCCGAGAACGAAACTATCTCAAACTGTCGAAATTTGTCATTCGATTCAAAAATATCTCAAAAAAAAAAAAAAAAAAAAAAAAAAACGATGCTATGTGAACAAA